CATCATCTTTTTTCATATTTAACTATGAGAATAGTAGAACGAAGGGACACAAATATAAATTTGGGCAATGGTTGCCCTCAGATGTTGTAGAAGCAGTAAATTTAAATGAGTTTAAGAAAACGTTTTAAGTATATGAATGATAAAGACTGGCTTTAAGATTTTTGTTTTAATTATTTTAATTTAGTTTAGTGGATGGAACAGCTGAGATGGACCAATAAGTCCCAGGTTGTCCCAAAACAATATGTTAAGAAAAACTGAAACTATTTTTCAAACTAATTTAATCCTAAATACAAATGAAAAAAGACTAGTCTAAGTTTTCTGACCTCACCATCCAGGTAAGCTAAGAGCAGGCTAATAGAAGGTAAAACAACAGAAGGAACTTTCACCACCACCTCCACAAGAAATTGTGACAGAGCTCGTGTACCTGCACTGTCACGAGCTAGATCATTCATGTCCATTCTCCCAATCTCTCTGTTACCAAAATAAAAAAAATTCTCAATTCAAAATTTATTCCATTTCTAAGTGACTTCAACATAAATCTATTCTACAATTACTTGTTTGAGCAGTTTTAAAATTTGGGTTATTAACCATATATGTAATGGTGGAGGAGTCGAAGTGCATGTCACCTTTTATACTTGCATTCAAAATTAATTAAGCTATTGTCAATGTATATCAATAAACTAGGCATCAAAATGTAGTTAATAAATCAGGTCTTACTATAAGTTTTAATATATGAATTTCAAATTGAAATATTTAAATAAATTTTCAATCTTCACTTCTCTGTATCACATGACACTTTTTCAATCTAAATTGCCCATTTTCTTACTATATGATGTCCTGAGTTTAACATACATTACACATATGTAGAATAGATACTGCTGAGACATAATCTAATGTTATAGCTTCCAAGTCTTCTTACTTTACAGAGATATAAATAAGAAAGTCAAACCTACACGTGACCTCCTGTTATCACATCCTTTTTATAAAAAAAATTTCAATAAATCTCTCTGACATTTGCTATTGGATTATTTATAATCAATAAAAAGATAAGATTTAAATTCACAGATTTCTGTATAAGGCTACCTTATTCTCACAATATGATTTGAATTATTCAGTCTACAGATTCATTGTTGCTATAATCAAGGTCACCTCAATCAAGTATTTGGATTGAGGTGACCTTGATGATATACTTGATTGAGATGACCTTGATGATATACTTGATTGAGATGACCTTGATGACATAATTGATTGAGGTGACCTTGATGACATAATTGATTGAGGTGACCTTGATGACATAATTGATTGAGGTAACCTTGATGACATACTTGATTGAGGTAACCTTGATGATTATATCATCAAGGTCACCGCAATCAAGTAAGAAAATTATTTTAATCGACTTATAGCTTAGTTAAAAGTCAAATTACAGTTTAGGTTTAGGTCAATGTATTTGTCTGCTTAATAATATTTTGTGTTCTTAATTATGTATTTCAAATAAATAATAACTATTTCATGTACTACTACCATTGTTACAAAAAAGAAGGGTTAAATTTTGTTGAGGTTGAGAGCAGAAATACAAGAGGCCAGATGTAAGTACTGAATTTCTTGTTTTATATGTAAGTTTTCATTTATTGTTATAAAAGTAATTAAAACTTAAGAATTAAAAAGATATTAGGTTAGGTAAAAAACCATAAATCAAAATAATTTCTTAACAAGGTATGCATACAAACACCTTGTGCTGTACCTAATTCAATACTTTTTCCTGTAATTTCAGCTATGGATTTGCAAGCTGATTTAGTGTTTTGTTATGTAGGTTTAGTAATTAGACATGGCTCAAAGAGTAATAAAACAATAAAATTAAATGAAAACAGATGTAAACTGTTAGGAGATTGAGGCCGTTTGTGATAAATAATTATAATTTTCTGTTACAATCTGCAATCATTCTAGAAAGAAAAATAGTTAATTTAGATTCAATTTGTATTTTTTTAGGTTACAAGGTCGGGTAAATCAAATGAGTCCATGTAGTGTTAAGATGGGGAAAATACATATAAAGTCTTACTGAAACAAACTTTTGATATTCATTTAGAAGGTTCTAGAGGTTTTAAAAATAAAATTTTAAAAATTAATTACAGGTTAAATAACTGAACATGTACAATGAAAAAATAACATCAAACAGTATCTCAACCAAAGAAATAACAATCAGAAGAGCTGAAAAACGAACCCCAAAAATAATAGCATTTCTTTTTACATTTTATTTATCATACAAATTATTTTTCACTAAAAACATTTCTTAAATGAATAATTTTCTCAAATTTTATAAGATGCTTGTTTGTTTATTGTTAAGCAGAAAGCTACACTTTGGGCTATTTGTGCGGTGCTCATCACGAGTACTGAAACCCAGTTTTAGCAGTGTATAAAAAAATTCTTCAGAATTTTAAATATATACCCACAACGAAAAAATATTATCATGAGAAAGCCTAAAAAATTTAACTGAACAATGCTAGATTATTGTGTATTCAGCTTACCTTATTATCTCATTCATTATGTTCTTTACACCATAACTATTTACAAAAACTTCAATCGCTTGAGCAAAGGGTGAAGCTAAGTGTTCAAAATGTTGAAGAAGCTGAATGGTCTTTAAGCTGCAAGCTAAAAAAAATTAAATAATAAAAAGCTGTATGTAAAGGATCTGC